ACACTCTGTGAGGTGAGTGGGGCTGAGAGACTTCAGAGAAGTGTGACTGGCCCAAGGTCACCCAGCAGCTGCATGTGGAGGAGCGGAGATGCGAACCCGGTTCCCCAGATTACGAGACTACCGCTCTTAACCACTACACCACACTGGCATACAGATCACAAGGTGCTCACCTGACACAAAGGTTGTAGATGTTGCCCATTGCCCAGGCAGCCTGGTAGATAGTGCTGAGGAGGAATAAGCAGTCGTGGTGCATGTTGGCACCAATGACAAGGGGAAATGTAGTTACAAGATACCAGAAGCCAGATTTAGGTTGCTAGGCAGGATGCTGAAGGTCAGGACCTCCAACGTAGCCAGCTGCCTCTGAAATGCTGCTGGTTAATGTATTTTCCCCGAGAAGTACAAATTATACAAGTTGGCATGAAAATGGCATTAACATCTCTCCCTTATAATCACAGTCTCGAATCATATGGGGAACCTTCATGAGCGCAGAAGCCACTAACTTGGGGGACATTAGCCCTCCAGCATGTGGAGGGCAGTGATGCTGGTGTCAGGGGGGAGTGAGCAGAGCAAAAGAAATACTCAATATGTTGTGGGAGAGAATGGAGGGGTTATTAGTTTGTTTTTTGTTCTTGCTGTTCAGCCAAGGGCAGGGTTCTTTCCAGATCTGGAGCCAATAAGCACACCAGTGAATGAAGAATAAGTACAGTGGTACCTCGCAAGACGAATGCCTTGCAAGACAAAAAACTTGCAAGACGAAAGGGTTTTTGGTTTTTGGAGTTGCTTCGCAAGACGATTTTCCCTATGGGCTTGCTTTGCAAGACGGAAACGTCTTGCAAGTTTGTTTGCTTTTTCTTAACACCGTTAATACAGTTGCGACTTGACTTTGAGGAGCAACTCATAGAACGCGGTGTGGTAGCCTTTTTTGAGGTTTTTAAAGACTTTGGTGATTTTTGAAGCTTTTCCAAAACTTTCCCGACACAGTGCTACGCAAGACAAAAAAAATCGCAAGACGACAAAACTCGCGGAACGAATTAATTTCGTCTTGCGAGGCACCACTGTAATGCTTTATTTGCATAAGGTTAACAGATAGCAGCAAGCATAATGGTCTTCCACGTTTCCCCTACACTTGCTATGTATTTTGTGTTTTTTACCTTGTATTTTTATGTTGTGAACTGTCCCGAGATCTACAGACAAAGGGCAGTATACAAATTTAATGAATGAATTAATAAAATAAATATAATCAGATGGGGGACACAAAGACCTGAACAGGGTTTCTGTGAGCATGGAAAACCTCTTGCAGGCTTGAATACTGTCAAAGAAATGGGAACTTGGGGGAGGGGCCGAAACTACTAAAACAACGAGATTCCTTCAATACCATTTTTAATTAGTTTTGATAAAAACGGAGCCATCTGTATGATATTAAAAAAAAATGTTGCCACAGCAACTTCAAGTGAGGTTGACAAGTTGGGGGCTTCTAATTGGCATGCAGTGCAAGTCTCTCATCCACCTGCTAGTATCTCTATGGCAACGTGACTGTCTCTTCACTGTGATAACACAGGGACACCATATTTATAGTCTTCTCCCCCGTTCTGCTGGATCTTTTTGTTTGTGGAATGGAGTTTAATAGTAATAATACAGTCCAAAATAATGAAAGAATAATGGGGATGTGAATCACTGTCGTATGTGTGTGTTTACTCAGGTGTTGTTCCCACTATGTTCAGTGGAGGTTACTCCCAGGTAAGTGCTCAGGACTGTAGCCCGAAGCTACAGTTGTGCTTCCTTGGGCTCCAAAAGGAAAACACCGGCACACGTACAGTGGTACCTTGGGTTACATACGCTTCAGGTTACAGACTCCGCTAACCCAGAAATAGTGCTTCAGGTTAAGAATTTTGCTTCAGGATGAGAACAGAAATCGTGCTCCAGCGGTGCGGCGGCAGCGGGAGGCCCCATTAGCTAAAGTGGTGCCTCAGGTTAAGAATAGTTTCAGGTTAAGAACAGACCTCCGGAATGAATTAAGTTCTTAACCTGAGGTACCACTGTATATGCAATATTTTATTGTGTGCCTTTCAGATTTTGGAAGGGGCTCGAAATCAGACCATATACCATGGTTTGGGGGAAGAGGGAGATGAGAAGAAATGGCTCCTGTGCCTTTTATAGTTGTGTGGCTGAGGGAACTTCTGCTGGTGTGGCTTGCATGGCAGCAGTGCAACTGTTAAAGGTGCACAAGCCAAGATATCACCAGAGCACCCTGATTCAAAGCATCTGGGGGAAAGATGCAAGGATGTGCATTTAGAGTGTCAAAGCACTTGGTTCAGATCTTCCCTTGACCTGTTTGTGAAGGAATAATAATATGAATCTAAGTTTAGTTTTTCCACTGAATTGTTTTATCCATTTATTTTTTATTTATTTTATAAAAAACCAAACATTGCATCCCCCACCTCAGATGCCGCAATGTTTTAAATTTGCCATAATTTACAGATGGATAAAATATGTCAATTTCAGTTTCTCCCACTTTCTCATTTTTCCAATCAGAAGTTCAGTTAGCTCTATTTCTACATCTGTTGGCCATTTTTTTAAAGGTTAAAAACCAAAATTCATATCCATTTTTAGATGTAGTTTGTATGTAATTTTTGTGAAATGCACACCTTTTTTTTTTACAAGCAACTTCTACTATAATGCATTTTTGGACATTTTTTTAATTAATCTATGCATTTGTGTGTGCCCTTTCCCCTAATATGCACTTTTGCATACATTTTTTGGGTTGGAGAACTACATTGCAAAATTTGGAGAAGTACAAATTTCAAATGATAGCATATTGGTTCAGGAAATCTGAATTAAGCAGGGTGTTTTTTTCTAACTAACTGGCATTCATGGGTTAGTCACCAACTAAGTAGTCCTGCTGCAATTAATAGACCTAAGTGAGTCATCTCCATTAATTTCAACAGTTCTACTCTGAGTAAATGGGTTTTTACTCTGCGTATGACTAATATTGACTACAACCCCATACTTACTGGTTCTGAAGTAGAGTACCTTCGAAAGAGTAGGTTTGTTCATACACTGGCATTTGGCACAGCACAGCATAATGATACCAGCAGGAAAACTAACATCCCTGTGTAATCCATAGCAACCCACTGTCAGGTAAATAAAAGCAAAGCCTATAGACATTTATCCTTATTAGGTCATCATGGTGATCACTGTGGCTGGAGGCTAGGTCCCCACTTTGGCAGTAAACATCTCAAAGGACTCAGTCCCAGCAGTGCTTGCATTTGGTGTCAAGTGGGAAATGTGCTGAATACAAGCCCCACTTGCGAAGGAGCAATCGGGATTTCTCTACATCTATGTCACAAGCTGAGACTCCAATACTTTGGCCACCTCATGAGAAGAGAAGACTCCCTGGAAAAGACCCTGATGTTGGGAAAGATGGAGGGCACAAGGAGAAGGGGACAACAGACGACAAGATGGTTGGATAGTGTTCTCGAAGCTACCAGCATGAGTTTGACCAAGCTGCGGGAGGCAGTGGAAGACAAGAGTGCCTGGCGTGCTCTGGTCCATGGGGTCACGAAGAGTTGGACACTTCTAAACGACTAAACAACAACAACAGATTCTACCTCTGTCTCGAATGAGGAAGGGCTGGCTAAATGACTAAACAACAACAATGTCACATATGACGTCAAGTGTGGGACATGTGGGCATGCACTGGGGAAAATCTCTAGGTTAGATTACTGCAATGCATTATACATGGGGCTGCCTCTGAAGACAGATCGGTGCAGAATTCAGCAGCCAGGTTGCTCATCGGCGCATGACGGTTTCTGGGCCCAATTCAAAGTGCTGGCATTGACCTATAAAGCAGCTCAGGACCACAATACACAATACTGCTCCCCATATGAACTGACTTAGACCCTGCAGTCATCATTTCAGGCCCTTCTTTGTGTTCCTCCTCCATGAGAGGTCTGGGGAGATAGCAACACAAGAATGGATCTTTTCTGTGGTGGTTCCCTGTTTGCAGAGTGCTCGCCCCAGGGCAGCTCACCTCGCACCTTCGTTATGTGTGTTTAGGTACCAGGTGAAAACATTTCTCTTCAGCCAGGCATTTGGCTGATTAAACAATCTATAACCTTTCAGATGTGTTGGGGATATTGGTGGTGTTGTTGTTAGGTTGTGTATCTCATGCTTGTGTTTTTGTTTTTTTATATTGTAAAGCACCCTGTGATGTTCGGATGAAAGGTGGTATATACATTTAATAAATAATAAATAAATTTCCCCCACGAGCCATATTAGGATCCTTGCTGTGGTGAATTAGGTTCACTGCAGGTAAGTGTGCAAAGGATTCCAGCTTACAACTATTATTATTAACTCTTTCTATATCACCACTGTGTAGTATCAGTCCCTGGATAAAATTAACAATTACGTTGCCCAGGGACAATGTGACTTTGAAATACGGTGAAATAAACTATCCTCAGTGATTCCTCTACTGATTTTATGGTTGGGGAAATCTCTGTGCCTCTGTTTAGATGGAAAGGTAGCACTGGGAAGAGGACAATAGCAAAATAAAACAGATAAAATTTAGCAAATAGTTGCACACTTCACTATTTCCTAAAATCTGTTGTGTTAGTGATTAACTGCTTATTTTGGAAAGGAAAGTAACGGGCTGCACTAAAGCATATAAATATGCTATTGGCACCATTTTAATGAAATAAACAGTCAAATCCTATGCATATTTTCTTGGCAATAATTCTTTCTGTGTTCAGTGGGGCTTAGTCCCAGGGAAATGAGAACATCATTGGGCTGTAAACTTATGAAGATGCTAATCTGAACACTGTGGCAAATGAGATAATACAAATACCAAACACACCAGTCAATAATGCATCAGATTTCACTTTCCAGTTATTGTATCTGACATTGCAGTATATTTAGTTTCAAACAAAGACGTCTCTGGAATATTTCCTCCGGAAGTAATTTCAAAGATTATAGTTCATTACCATGCTTTTGTGAGCAAAGCATAAACTGTCACTCATGGGTCTTTTAACTCCCCCCCTTTTTTTTTTTACATTTAGTTTTTGCTCTTAACAAACCTGGCTGCCAGCATCAGATTTTCTTGTGGCATGAATGATGTAGTAGAAGTGTAGCCGAATGATCTTCTGTGTCATCTGGAAAAGAGAAACAGGATTTAAATAAATATATTGAATGAACGAAAACTTCCAGCAAGGCTGCTGGTAAAAATGGTGTCAAAAAGCAAAACAACAGCAGCCCCCCCCCCATCTTCAAAATCACCCAAATGACATCAAAAGGGCTGCAGAAGTAAGAGGCGTCTGGGTTCAAACTAATAGGCATCCCAGCATATCATTTGGCATCAATACTCCTCATGTTTTAATCTCGCTCTCTGTTTATTTTTAACTAGAAGCATACCTTGAGTTCTTCCTTGACAAATGTTTTCTTTTGTACTCCTCCTCTGTAACTCACCACACCCTACGCAACGTGTTTAGCAGAATTATATCGGAAATATTTGTGGCTTGGATACATGAGAAGAGCTTGTTGACTTAAAGAAGCCAGGTACACCTTTATGTGGCCACAATAGAACAGGAAGACCACAGCTGAGCCCTCAGCAATGCGGATTTTGTCTGGGCAGCTCAAGAATGTTATCCACAGAGAGTATCTTTTTTTTCTTTCTAACGAGGATGGGATTTTGTCCTGAACAATTTTTGTGGTTGTCTGTTTAAACTTGATTGCAGTTATCACCTGGGACAGTTTACCAAAGACATGCCTGAGGTTTCATGTTAAGACAAAATGGTCTTGGCAGAATAACTGTCAGGGAAAACTATCAAATGATGTGGCCCATTATATATTATATTTTCAGCCCTACTGGCATTTGAATTCCTGCCCCCCACCCAAAACTCCCAAAACCCACATACCCTCATTACACAATAAACATAATTACTTCCACACAGTTGGTGCCCCATAGCACTAATTGCCATGGTTGCAATTGTTTGTTACCAAGCAGGAAAAAGTAAATAGTTAAATGTGGGAAAACAAGAGCCCTGTGCAAGTGTTACTCACAAGAACAGGCAAAGCCATGTGGCTTTGGAGGTTGGGCTAAGAATATGACTTTACTTGCCTTTTTTTTTTTTACCTCACCAGCTCTCTTCACACAAGAAACACCTGCAGACTGCCAATGCTTGGAAATATATCCCCGACACTAAAGCTGGGTTGAATATTCCCTCCCTCCCTCATTTCACAGCTCAACTTTTGAGAAGTGGACAAATTTTTAGAATTTAGAGAAGTTTTACCATTAAAGAGCAGGTGATCAAGGGTTCTCTCCCTTTGTCCCCTTTTTTATCTAAAATCCTGGGACAGAATGCCACATGGGAACAATGCTGACATAGACACTGAACACACTTGCTTGGGAAATTTACTTTAAATAGAAGGGGGGAGAGACTTGTACCCCCTGGTTTGACTGTCTTGAATTGGTAATAGACAATTGGAAATATGAAAGTTTTCCCTAGTAAGATAGTAATAATAATAATAATTTATTATTTATACCCCGCCCATCTGGCTGAGTTTCCCCAGCCACTCTGGGTGGCTCCCAATCAGTGTTAAAAACAGTACAGCGTTACATATTAAAAACTTCCCTGAACAGGGCTGCCTTAAGATGTCTTCTGAATGTCAGGTAATTATTTATCTCTTTGACATCTGATGGGAGGGCGTTCCACAGGGCGGGCGCCACTACCAAGAAGGCCCTCTGTCTGGTTCCCTGTAGCCTCACTTCTCGCAATGAGGGAACCGCCAGAAGGCCCTCGGCGCTGGATCTCAGGAGGAAAGTACAGTGGTACCTCAGGTTACATACACTTCAGGTTACATACGCTTCAGGTTACAGACTCCGGAAACCCAGAAATAGTGCTTCAGCTTAAGAACTTTGCTTCAGGATGAGAACAGAAATCGTGCTCCGGTGGCGCGGTGGCAGCAGGAGGCCCCGTTAGCTAAAGTGGTGCTTCAGGTTAAGAACAGTTTCAGGTTAAGAATGGACCTCCGGAATGAATTAAGTACTTAACCAGAGGTACCACTGTACCAGTTTGATCTAGAAATGTTTTCCCCACTTTTACTCCCTGGAGCCAAGTATTACACTTTGCTCCGATTTCCTAATAAATCTTAAGTTGATACCTGGAACTTGTCCTATGTCTGCATTTGAACAACTTGAGGTGATGCACACTGCTTCTTAGATGTGTTCTTTCGGTCACGGCGCCATGACATTGCAATACCTTTCGAGGGAAGGTTGGCCTTGGTGAATCATTGGACTGGTTGAATCACTACTTTTGCCCTTATGGAAACATGACTGTGCATAAGGACTTCTGGGACAAGTTCAGACCAATATTATGCTGCTGCTAGATTTTTTAAAGTATGATGTTCATCTTTCTTTCAGTGGTTTCTTTCTTTTTGGATGCTGCTATTTTGCAGCCTGCATTTTAATAATTGTGTTAATTGCTTTAGTTCCACATGCTAGGAAAGATAAACAATTTTAGAACTGTTTGCAAGCTGTCTTAGGACCAAACCCAGCCATCCTCTGAAATCCACTCTTCTCCAGATTTTGAATGCAGTGCTCCAGCCAAGTCATGTGTACAAAATTGAATAGAGTGTGCAATAAAATGGATTAATTTTAAATGCACTGAAGAACATCCTATAACCTAGAAAAGGGAAGTTAGACAAGAAGTCTTCACCAAGGACGGAATTCCATGCAAAATCTTAGCAATTCATTTAGAAGCTCATAGGCAGATATATGTTTGAACAGGTACAATTAAAAAATCCTGCAACTTTCTAGTGCTGGCACAAAGGAACTGTTCACACATTATGTAGAAAAGAAGCTCCTAAATCTTGAGTCACAGTACAAAGCTTCCTCCAAGGACAATCTTCATAAATTCACAAATATTAACTAATGCAGGAATAGCCTGTCCAGTCATTCCTGACCTTTGGCTATGTTGGCTGGGGCAGATGGGAGTTGTAGCCCATAAAACCTGTAGGGTGCCCTATTGGCCACCCTTGAACTGAAGAGTTTGTCCCTTGAAGTAATTGATTGTTATGGCTTTTGATGCTTTGCGAAATGTTTAAAATCTTGATGAGCCTTTCAAAAATTAGAATTCCCTTTGTATCATCTGACCTTTCATAAGATGCCCTAAAGTGGCTATTCTTTTCAAAGGCATTAATGTTTTCTTACATTAGCTCCTCAGCCAGAACACCCTACATCATTCCCTCTTCTGCAATTTCCTGATTCTCCATTATACATGCTCTTTAATGATGCAGTATTTAATAGAAGCCTGGGGCCAAACCTGTCTGCAAATGCTTTCTGAGAATATCCAGGACATAACCAAGAAAACTGAGGACAGTGAATTTGTTTCAATTCCAACAATATTTAATTGCATGCTGAGTAATAAAAATAAATGAGGCTCCAAAAGATAACTCTCTGCGTGGTTACTGGCCAAGTTAGCTGATTCTCTGTTTGACATTTGCTTGTCCACTAGGTAGATGTCAGCCATGTTTGGGAGAAACAGCAAGCTATTCACTCACAGGTAACTATGGCATGCCACAGGGTACTGCAGGTACCACCAGAGTTAAATGTCTGTCCTAAGATTTCATGTGATCAGTGATAATGGATCATTACTTTTTAATCATATAAGGACAACGCTAGAAGCTAAGCTGGGTGGTGATGGCTACCCATAAAAATGAATATCACTCACTAGTGAGCTGTGGAAAATTCAATACATTTTTACAAAGCATTTTCACAACATTTTTTTATATGTGTCTAGATTCTACCTCTGTCTTGAATGAGGAAGGGCTGGCCAGACTGGCTGATCTAGCACCACAGAGAGACAGGTCCTGGAAACCAAACCACCCCAGCATCATGACCAGGTCCAAGTCCATCAGATTGGGGGGCCTTTATTCTGGGACCCCTGAATCTAAACCTTCAGTGACTGTACTTCCAGAGCCTGCAACCCCTGTGGAACCACGTGGCTCCATGCTAGGGAACCCCATCCCCATGATGGCCTATCAACACAGGTAACAAACCTGGAGGGAATAATCAGAGGAGAGTAAGTACGCTGGACTCCAAGCTAGAGGGCTGTCCCTTTAAGGTTTCCCTCTCATCAAGGAAGAGGCAGGGCATGGGAGGGACAGTCTGGCCCTGGATGTGTCAAAGGTTTCAGTCAAGTCTAGGCATTGTTGGAAGAGGCTGCTCACTGAGAACTTTCCATGGTGTCACCTTATGACATATCTCTTATCAAGATCAGGACAGGTTATTGTTCATAGTAGATTGTGGGGGCCAGTTTGGGGGGCTGAGCTGTCTCCCTCCCAGAAAATGCTTCTCCTTACCCAAGACTTCACTCAGTTTTGTTGTGATGGCAAAAGAGAGAAGAAAACATAAATAGTGCCCTTACTGGGATGCCCTCTCTGGTCATCTGATTAAGCATTTGACAAGCGGAGAGCAAATAATAAACTCCGCTTCTCAGCTGATCTGCTTGGGAGGCCTGTGTGTGTGTGTGTGTGTGTGTGAGAGAGAGAGAGAGAGAGAGAGAGAGAGTGCATGAGAGAGTATGGGGTAGCCACACCCACTGCTGGCATGGATGACCAAGGGATGAAGGTGGCTATTGGGCCAAAATAACTTTAGCCACCCTTGCATTAAACCCTGGAAATAATGAGTTATAAATAAAAAGGCCAGCTGGCATAATACCACAATAGTAGCAGTGTTGACACAATGTTTCTGAGGGTCAATGTGGTGAAATATACATAAGTAAACAAGGAACAAAATGGCTATAAATTGCTGGGTTCAATATTCAATCCTTGCCAGGCTGGCTATATTGACAGATCCAAACACAATGTTTTAACAAGTGAAAATATATATATTTTATCTATTATGTATGTAGAGGGACCAAGGCGACCAATCACCTCATCAGCATATAATATTTTGGGCATGACTGTTCCCTGGAAATCGGTCGTTGCTTGCATTTCTTTCGCAATGTTAGAGATGTACTGTATTTCTCGTAACTCCTTACCTGGTGAAATTGTCCTTCATAACTGCCACTTGTAACTCAGTATATAAATAATTGGCGTGCATTCCTTCTTGACTTGGCAGCCAGGTGAATAATCTCCAAGGACCAGACTTCAG